ATAGATACAGAGTCTAGAGTTCAGAGACATGAAACTGCCTGGCCCCGTCTGCACATACACAATTATTAAGTAAATGGACATCTCAGGAGTTAAATCCAAGTTTATTTTGTTCCAAATCTGATGTTCTTAATTAATATGCTATATTTCTTTCAGATAGCATTGTTTACCTTTAAGAGACTAAAATTCTAATGATACTGGTAAACCTGTTAGTTATCAATTGAGCAGGTTATGGTGAAAGAAAGTATAGACTCGTAGAAGCTATAGAGAAGGCACCTAAGCTGGGTTGACAGGATGAGACATGGCATTCTGGAGAAGGTAATTTTGGTGGGGGAGCAACAGACAACCCACAGTGATGGAGGGAAGCCATATTTCAGGCATTGGGTAGGGAGTGTGCACATGCTGGAAACAACACATCATTTTTGTAGAGTGGGGACCCAGAATGAAAATAAGGGAGTGATTCTAGATGAGAGTAACATACAGGAGCCTTGTATGGCATCATTTATAGCACCCTTAACAGATTGGATTTTTCTATAAATCAATGGGAAGATGTTGATGATTTTATGAATAAGAGTAATATGCTTAAATCTTAATTTTAGAAATATCGCTCTGGAGACTGTGTGCAGATCAGATTTGGATGTGATCAAGACTGGAGGCAGGGGTACCAGAGATTTCTGTTAAAAACTGATTCATGCAAGAAAAGATGACTCCTGAAATAAGACAGTGATCATTTAGATGAAGAGAAAGAGAAGATTTGAGGAATACGTGGAAACAGAATTTACTGAATTTACTAGTTGAATTGAATGTGAAGAGGAGATGAATAAAGAGGAAAACACCCTCAAAGATGATCATGAATTTTGTCTTGATTGTTTGATCAAATGAGTGGCTACATAGGAGGAACAGTTTATTGTGAAAATGATGGGGTATCTCCAAAGGACACCCAGACAGGGAGGTTTAGGATTATATATATGGATCTAGAGCTCTACAGAGAGGTCCAAACTAAAGGTCCAAACTAAAGTCATTGCTGATGACTCAATGGACGTCATCAGCATTGAGGTGGTGGTTCAAGTTAGTAGAGAAGATGAGACCTTTTAGGGACAATGTGAAGAAAGAGAAAGGAGAGGATGAGTAGAGAAGCTTCATTTGGAGGATGGGTGGAGGAAGAGGAGCCTGTGAAAAGTACAGAATAGAATAAACCATGTAGATCGAAAGTAATCCGGGAATGACTATAGTCAATAAAACAAAGGGAGGTGAGAACAACCAGAAGGCATGAGGAACAGTTTCACATTCTACAGAGAAGTGAAAAAGCTTGAAAAGAATCTTTTGGATTTAGCAACAGAATGATGATTGAGATAACATCTCTCTTCAGTTTAATAACTTTTGTTACTCAAGCTCCTCATGGTGATAGGGCTGAGTGTGGTTAGAATTGGCTCAGGAGAGAGGTGTAAGTTCAGGGTTTATGCACCACTCCAATATTCACAAAAGAGGAGAGATTTTTTTTTCTCCTTGAAATAAAATTATGAAAATAAACCTTACTGTTCTTCTCTATTTGTGTACCCCACTCAGGGAAATCAAGGGATTTCTTTTCATTAGAAGGAATTGGCATAGGAGTAGAATTTATCCCTTTCCACTTTCAGAGTCCCTCCGAGCATAAACTATATAGCAAACATTGGATGAAGAATGTATATTTTCAGTATCAGAAGTTGTGGGTGTTCAAATTATGTGTTTGTAGATTAGTTTTAAGAACATAACTTCTGCCACTCAAAGTTAGAATTGTGTTCTTACTCCTTGTGACACTAAGGAATAAATCAGAAACAGAAATTTTCAGTGAATAAGCTTCAGTCAGATAGGTCTGTGGTCTGTGTTTGGATACCACCTCATGCTTTCTAGGAGATCATGGGGAATTAATTTATTTTAGTTCCAATTTCTTTCTAGGTGAAGTGGGAATGATGATATCTACCTTTTAAGGCTTTCATAAGCATTTAAGGAGATAATGTACTTTGAGCATTTAAACAGTTCTTTGCAAAAATCACTGCTCAATAAATGTTAACCAGTATTATTTTCATTCTAGTCTTTAAAGTCAACCTTTTTTCTTTGCTTTGGGACATATCCTTGATTGTGGCTTTTCAGACATTGCTCTCACACCTTGTCATACTCCACTCTTCTTAGGATCCTCAGTCTTTTCTTTTTAAATTCTTTCTCGTTACCAGTCATGCCCAGGGAATACTTAAACAAATCAATGTTTTTCTTTGGATATTTATGCCTATTTAGTGAACTTAGAACTTATTTCTTTTCATGATCAATTTTTACAATGAGTAGTCTATACTTACTCTCATTTTTTTCCATTTTGTTTTGTTTGTAAACTTTGAAATGGAATCTTAGCCTACTGAAACATAGACTCCTAAAATGGCTCATTGGTGACATATTACTGGTGAAAATAAATGACATTTTAAAATCTTCCACCTCTTGGGCCATTCAGCTGCATGTAATTTTCTCGAGAACCTCGTGTTTGAAAACTTTCATATTCTTCTTATGTGTGTCACCACAACATCCTCAATCTTTTCTTCATTGGTCCCTCTTTTACCTCCCACATCACAGTCACTGGAGTTTCTCAAGGATTAGTCCACAGATTTTTCTTCTCCTTTTACAGTAATTCCTTCACAGAGTTTTTTTCTACTTAGAGTTTTTCCCATGATCTTGATGATGAAAGGCATCACATCTACATCTGTGTTCTGACTTTTTAACTTGTACTCAACCTCCGTATCTCCAAATGTGAGACCCTTAAAATTCCTGTCATTGTCTCATTGTCTTCAGTAGATAAGCTCAACTTTCACCCCTTTTCTGAGCTTGACTATTTTTTCAGTCCACAAAGACTTCTACCTTTAAAACATTTTGTTTTAGACTGTACCATTAGGATTAGAATCTGCCTTAAACTATGTGAAAACCCTATCCTCCCTAGCTTCTATGTGCTTTGAGGTCAGCATCCACATTTATATTTCTTTTGTGAAACTCAAATACTTCACAATTAACTACTGTGTCCGCAATTAACTACTGTGTCCACCACTTTAAAAAGTCAGTGTTGTAGATGAAAAACAAAACATAGGTAAATGCCAGAGGAGAAATACTAGTACACCCCAGAGTGGTGTAATAACTTATTTGGGAATTTGTATTTATTGTCAGGCTAAAGTTTGCTTAATAATATTAATAGATATAATTAGACATACTAAACAAATGTTTTTTCTCTTTTTTTTGTTAATTATTTGGCACTTGAACTTAATATCATTGAATATATTTCTCCATAACTCTGGTTAAGAAATGAATAGGAAATTTTAATGAAAGTATTAAATGGAGTATTTAGCTAACATTTTATGAGCCACAATTTGAAGAATGTTGTTAATTCTGAATATAATTATTTTCATTAAAATCTGGTAAATCTGATTTGTGCAGTGAATTGAAAAAAAATGCTTGGGTCATAAATTCTATGAAGAAATATTTTGCTTTGTGTGATATTGAGCAAAGATTTCTTAAACTTTCATGTTTTTCATTTGAAAAGATCCAGACTAAATTTCAAATAAATGGTAGATTCAGTAAAATCAAACAAAACACTTTCTGGAACAGATCCACACAAAAAAAGGGAAGCAATTTTTCATAAATTCGAACAAAAGACTAAATTTCCCTTATTCCTACTTAGTATAAAGCTCAATCTCAGTACATAGACTTGTTTTGTGTATTTTCTGGTTAAAAAATGACTGAAATTCCATTCTGGATAGAAATACTTAGCAGGCCTCTTTACAGTGGTCAAATAATAATTTTGATACTATTTGGGGCTATATGTTAGAATATCGAAAGTCCAGTTTGAATTATTTTTGACAGCTGAGTCACCACAGTGATTCTGCAAATGACTTTTATTTTTTCATTTTGATTTCTCTATCACAATTCAAAGAAGGATTTTTGATCAGAAACTGTACTAAATTATATGATAATGAGAAAAATTTTAAGTCATAACAAGGGAAAGGTTGAAAACTAACAAAGTTTAGCAGAAATTTTGCCAAGAGAGAGATGAGGGCCAGATGTGATTGAGTTACAGTTGAGACAAGTCAACAGCATCAGTGTTTTATCCTAGTGTATCCAAAAGAAATATGTCTCCAAGATGCCATATTTCTGCCTCCAGGTATCCGTTTCATTTGATGTGTTGCTACTTTGCTTTCATTTATTCACTCCTTTATTCTATAAAAAATATGTGTATTACAATTTGCAATTGCAAAAATTTGGAACCAGCCTGAATGATGTACCATGGAATACTACTCAGCCATACAAAGGAATGAAATAATGGCATTTGCAGCAACCTGGATGGAATTGGAGACTATTCTTCTAAGTGAAGTAACTCAGGAATGGAATATCAAACATCAATGTTTTCCCTTATATGTGGGAGCTAAGCTATGAGGATGCAAAGGCATAAGAATGATATATTGGACATGGGGACTGGAGGGAGACGGTGGGGGGTGAGGAGTAACTGAACTACGTGTTGGGTGCAGTGTGCACTGCACTGCTTGGGTGATGGGTGCACCAAGATCTTAGAAATCACCACTAGAGAACTTATTCACATAACCAAATGCCCCCTGTTCCCCAAAAACCTATTTAAATAAAAAAATTGACAAATTAAAAAAATGAAATAAAATGACTTAGTCATAACCCCAAAACCAAATGCCCAAAATATTTGCATTAAATACCAAATATGTGACCAGGTACCAATGACTGGCATTGCCTCTAAAACATGTGAAGTTACAGTCCTGACTCTTGCTAAGCTCTTCTCATTCATCTTTACCCACGCCTTATTCCCAGATGGGAGTCACATGCAAGAATCACAAGATGTGAATGTGGGTTTTATCCTTTGGGGATTTTGGGATTCATGGAAGCTACAGTATTGGGAAAATACGTATCTGGCTTTTGAATCTATCATATTTCCTCTGTTGTCTCTATACTGGAAACACCAAGGAATTCAGGAAAAAAGGTAGAACTTGGAAAGGCTGAAGCTCATTTTAAATAGATCAAGCCCTGGAGCAGGGGAAGATGGCCACTGTGAATTACAAGACTAGGCTAATGATGCTGTGATATGCTTTTAGGTAATAGTTCAGATGTAGAAGGTAGGAGACTCTAAAGAAAGTTAGCGTAACTCTGTTTTATTATTCTTTTTCCTACTGTAATGAATCACCCAAGCTTCCCCTTTCAATGCATGGGGTAATCTTTAAATAACTATAGAAGGAGTGGGCTTCTGGATAGGTTCATTCTTTTCAAGATATTTTTATTCCAGCTGTACTTTTCTTAATGTTCTATCTTCTTTCTCTCTCTCTTTGTCCTTTTTATTTACACTCTGCATATTTTAAAAGAGCGATTCATTTTCCTTATAAATAATTAAAAATCATAGAGGTTTATAAATAAACACAAAAACAAATAATGGGATGGTGTCTCCTTTTATAGTTAGTCTTATAAAATTGTAGAGAAAAATGATTGGAAATAGGTTGATTCTGAGAAGCTAGAAATAGAACAGAAGAGAAGAGGATTTGCATGGTATTTTTGTATGACATCTAAAATCCAAGTTATTCTCACAGGGGCTTGTCAGTCCTAAAGAACATTCTCTACATAGAGAGGAAAGTTACTACAGCCAAAGTGGTAACCTCCTAGGGTGTGTCCCATGCCATCCCAGCTTTTTCAGGCTTCTCTGATCCAGCATAAGTTACAAAACTTACAATCAGTGGGGAATTACCTAATTTGAAGTCTTGTCACTTCAGTGACTTTCTAAATAGAAATGAGAGAACCCAAAAACGTTTTGAAAAAATTTTTATTTCTTCCTGGCAAGTGCACGTGTATTTTTTCCTGTATGTTATTTGGATGTGAGGAGCTGTCATTATCTTAGGAACAACTATGAAACAGTCTCTGGAAAATAGAATTCGATTTTGGGTAAACAACAGGAGAAATTTACTGTTTTTCTCCAGTAGCTCCACAATAAAAGGTATGTTCAATGTCACTGAGAAGAAAGGCTACAAATGCTGCTTTTTCTTCACAAGTATCCTTTAAAATAAATATAGTGAGGGCAAAATTTGAGTAATTAAGAGGAGAAAGTTGGCCTGTGCTTTGGTTTTCTTGATATTAAAAAAGTGTATGCTAGGGATTGTCATCTAGAAGTTTACTTCAAATATCCACTGACTTTCTTATGCAGAAACAGTTATATATTCCTTTTCTAAAAAGTGAAAAAGGGTACTGACACAGAACAAATGTTTCAATGGTTCATTGATTATAGGACTGAAATAAGAAAACTATGAGTGTGGTCTGTGTGTATGTAAAAGTGAACGAGAGAAGGAGAGACACAGAGAAAGAGGTGTTTGAGGGAGAATGGAGAGTTTTTGGTAAATAAAAAGTATGTATACTTAAAACATAAAAGCTTAAAATAATGCCAAGTAGAAAATAATGGCTATAAGAGAATACTAAGAAGAGAGAAATTGGTAGGGTAGGATATTTTCCATAACAATTAAAAAATGTTGTAACTACGTTTCTATTTTCTAAGCTTAAAGCTCTATGATTACATATAACTGACATGAATAGGTTCTGATCAAACTTTGAACTAAAGCAATTTATTATTTAGATTTGATTTTTGTGTTTTTCTTCATCTAGCTACCAAGTTGATCACATTGTTGATAAAAAAGTTAATGTAATCATTTATAATAATATTATATCAGTGAATCAGATCTGAATAATTCTCTAAAATGGGTTAAAGTCATTTAAGTTAAATCTGTTCAAACGTTTTTATTCCAATGGTACTTTTTTTGATAGTCTCTTTTCTCTCTTGCTTTGTCATTTTAATTTAAATAATAAAAAATAGAGTGTTTAAATGGACCATGTCAAGATACCGGTAAACTTGAAACTATTCTTCTTATATTAGAATTGTTATTAGTACATTTGTATTCAAATAGAAAAATCAACCCAGGATAAATCTTTCTTTGAGGTATAAATGGTTAACTATTAGACCTCATTTATGATGCTCAGAGATATATAACATATTAGTAAACTCAGGCATTGCTTTTCTTCCTTCCTTGTTCAGTTAGCTGTAGAATACGAAAAGAATCATTTCATACTGACTGATTGCTGTCCTTCATTCTAATATATTTATAGACCTAGCATATGTTTTGAAACTTCAAAATGTTTTTCAATGTAACATAAATAGCAAATTTAATTTTGAACCTGTTGATATTTGGAATAAACATGTAGCACAATGTTTGACCCATAGTAGACAGTCAATTAGTTTTTGTGGAAAGGATGAAATCTTCAAGTTGACTATTCTAGAAAGATTGGCTAGCTTAAATTTACTCCATGAAAGTAGACTGTTTTCCTAAACCTATAGAGTATTTTGCAACTTCCCGCTATAATTCAGAACTAAACCAAGGCCTCTTAGCTATAGATGTGTCTGAACCAATCTATCATGAATTCAACAAAAATGCTTTTAAAATGGTTATTTTTTTTCTTTGGATAACTATATGATATACTGGTTTATATTTAAATTAAAAAATAATTCAGACATATAAATTAAATGCTACCAAAGTGTACAAAATTGAAAGTGAAAATAAAATACGTAACCTTAAAGCACATGGCTGTTGTTGAATTGGGAACGTGGACAAGCTACTGTGCTGTCAGCAGTAATTGCCAAGGTCAGGTTCAATTAACGACCAATGCCATGAGCAGAGCATCAAACCACCCACCTTCACAAAACACTTGCAGGCATGAAGAACCATGGGCACATATTCAAGAAGAAGCTAATAACTTGAAGAGAAGCAAAGGGACTCCCATAGTTCTCTTTATTTCCATATTGTTTGTGATGAATAAAGCCTTAATATTCATAAATATCCAAATAATTCTAGTAAACTACTCAAAACATATTTTTAGATTATGGAAACACATATAAAATGATTTTTTTTCCTGAAACATCAATTCTCTATGGTTTCAGGGAAGATAAGTATTAAATGTCTTAGAGATGCAGTATGAAACCTCCTGGGTTTCATGTTTGCCCTGAATTGATGAATCTGTCTTTTCTAATAAGAAATGCTTTTAATATTCTTGTAGGTTATAGAATTTAAAGAGATTATACACATCACTTCTTCCTTCATTCTTTAAATCATTTACCAAATAAGGAGAGTCTCTTAAGTTAATATGGGAGTAGAGAATTAAGAAAGACAGAAATAGCCTGTCTTCATGGGATGAAACATGAAAAAGTTATTACACCTAAAGATTGTTATGAAGAAAAAGCTATCATCAGATCCAAAAGTTGATAGGAATGTTTCATTTAGGAATAAGTTCAAGAGATCTATTTTACATCATGATGAATATAGTTAGTAACAATATACTGTACACTTGAAAATTACTGAGTGTGAGGTAATGCATATGTGAATTCATTTGATTTAGCCATTCCATAAAATTAACCATGTTGTATACTATGCATATATAAAATTATTGTCAATTCAAAAACAGTTGGAAGAAACAAATGAGAAAGACAGAAGCATGGTGGTTTGTTTTTTTCTGTGGTCTTTTTCATGTTCTTCTATGCACCTGTGATGCCCTCTTCAGGCATTCATGTTCCACTTTCTAGGCTGAGCTCAGGGAGCCATCTCTGTCTTTTTCTAGTGCCTTGTGCCTGTGTATGTATCTCTTTCATTGTCTTCACTATGCTATTAAAATTGATCTTTTTATATGTCTGTTTCTGTCAGTGAATTACATACTTCTTGAGGGTGGTGACAGATATTATCTTTCAACCCTAGTCATAATGGTGCAATTGAAAAGTGGGTTAGTTGATTTGCTGAAAGTTGAATTCTTGGGAGAAGGCATGATGAAGAAGAAAAGCTTCACTTCTCTGGAGATAGGAAGGCTGAATTCTACTCTGAGGCTGCCATTTCCAAGTTCGTAGGAAGTGAAAAGAAGGACACCGTGTGAACCTCTGTGGCCACTTGCAGCGCTGAGCTGTGGCAGATGCTTTCGGTGCTCCGCATATCTTCCTCTAGGACCCTCTCTGATTTCAGCCACTGTGTCAGTGGACAATCCTGAGAGTTCAGACTTATCTCTAGCTGGCAGCTGTCACCTGTTTTTCTGGGATTTGGCTCGGGAAAGTGCACACTGGAAGGGGCAGTGATTTTTATCTTGGGGCATTCATAAACCAATGACAATGGGAAGCAGTTGGAGAAATTTTTCAGCCTCTTGTCTTTTGCGAGAAGTGGGAGAGGTGGAAGGGGGATGACTCTGAAGGGTGTTTGGTTTGCGTCTCAGAGGACCTGGCAGAAACAAACCCACATTTATAACACAGCCTTATGTTTCCTTTTCTTCTTCTCACTCTTCTACTCATTTATTTCAGCTTCCCGGTATCTCCTTCCAAGTAAACCACCTGCACCCAATTCTAAGTCCTTGTCTTAGGCTCTGCTATTGGCAAGGCTCAAACCAAGATTCCAGCCTAAGCGGCAGGGCTCTTAAGTGGTAGCCTAATAAGGCCAATAGTTTTCTGTTTTGTTTCCACATAACAGGCAATATTTTCCTCCCAGCCTGTACATGCATTTTCTCATTGATGGTTAGGTCTAGCCAAGGACAACTTGACTGACATTTTTTTGTTGTTGTCGTCTTAGAATATCTTCTCTCTATTTACTAGGCAAAATTTATGTAATTTTTGTATTTCTCTCATTTGTTAACAGGGAACCCTGAGCAGAACACATGCACAAACTCATGCAATACCCTAAGGGACCAGGTTCCCCACATGTACTTGGAAATCTTCAGGATGCTCAATGCTAAGTTCAATAAGTTGCAAGATTTCAAAAATATTTAAGAAGAAATTTGTGAGCCAAGTGTCTCCAAGTCATTCAGCCTTCTGAGGTTACGCTGTCCTTCAAATATAAATTCAATAAATGATCTCCTCCTCCACAAATTCAATAAGTGATACAGTTGGCTAATACCCTTTCTCATATTTCTCTAAGTAAATGAGTG